TTCTGATGACTTAAAGGTAGGCAGACAATGTAATAGAGCAGCAGGAAATGCTAGCAGAATGCTTGGTTGTATAGGGAGAGGTATTAGCAGTAGAAAGAGGGAAGTGCTCATGCCATTGCACAGAACACTGGTGAGACCTCACTTGGAGTATTGTACACAGTACTGGAGACCGTATCTTCAGAAGGATATTGATACCTTAAAGAGGGTTCAGAGAAGGGCTACTAAACTGGTTCATGGATTGCGGGATAAAACTTACCAGGAAAGGTTAAAGGATCTCAACATGTATAGCTTGGAGGAAAGACGAGACAGGGGGGATATGATAGAAACATTTAAATATATAAAGGGAATCAACACAGTAAAGAAGGAGACTATATTTAAAAAGAAGAAAAACTACCACAACAAGAGGACATAGTCTTAAATTAGAGGGACAAAGGTTTAAAAATAATATCAGGAAGTATTACTTTACTGAGAGGGTAGTGGATGCATGGAATAGCCTTCCAGCCGAAGTGGTAGAGGTTAACACAGTAAAGGAGTTTAAGCATGCGTGGGATAGGCATAAGGCTATCCTAACTATAAGATAAGGCTAGGGACTAATGAAAGTATTTAGAAAATTGGGCAGACTAGATGGGCCGAATGGTTCTTATCTGCCGTCACATTCTATGTTTCTATGTCAGGTAATCACAACTTTTAGGACTAATGAACCGACGTGGAAAAATATTCTTAATTTCATCTATTAGTCCAGCTCTGCTGTTTTGCCATTTAACATAATATTCTCTTCAAATCTAATTTCAGCAATTCCGATGCATCACCATGGGTACAGCTTTGAATAATTAAAACAATGGTACATCTGCGTTAAAAAGATAAAAACACACTATAAAAATAATTATTCATAAATTCCACCTGGTTAAATACTTAAAAAATGACATTTAAATAAAACTTTGTTATTGTATATTGGATTTGCTGAATTTAGTCTACAGACAGGGGCATTGCTAGGCTTTAGGAAAAACTGAGGTCTTAGTCAAAAAGGCAAACTCGATGCCCCCAACTCTGACAAAGAGGTGGGATGACATGTTATGTCTCCTCTGCCCATTGAAAGCCAGCTGTTGATGGGCTCTGGGATCTAAACAAAATCAAATTCTGCACATCCAGGTGTTCAAAGCGATCCCACCACAGTAACTAACCCATTGAGGGGTGCACAGCTGTTCCCCAGCACCCCTCTCCCCTAAGTACCCTGGAGGAGCCCTGTTCTCCTCCTCGTTCTACTTATTCTGGGCAGTTGCTTCAAGAAGAAAGAAAGAACGAAAACACCAATAATCTCCTGCCCTCTCCATTAACTGTAGAAGTCCCAAGCTAAAGAGCCCCATGTTCTGAGTTTCAGCCCCCAACTCCCCTTCCCCAGCAAGACCTATATTTAAAACACTCCAATCATTAACCAATGTTTTAAGAAGACACCAGTTTTGGTTGGAGTAACCTTTCCTATCCTGGTCCTCCCTTCGTCCCCCGATAACTTATTTCTGTTCTCGAGTCAAGGCCAAGTTTTCACCTAGCCTGATCCTCCTCTGCTGACATCATGGCCCCTCATTGCCAGGAAAGGATGGATTAACTGGAAGCCTCTGGGCCTAAAGGAGGGGCAAGACATGCTCCCATTAGATACCTGTCACAACCATGCAGTGCGCGTCGATGTAAGACCCCCAGATATGCACAGAATGGACATTAGTAGCTCGGAACTCTTGTTCTGGCTAATGAAGCTCCAACGATGCTGGCAGAGCTGATGCTATATCCCTAGCGGAGGAGGTGAAATAACTAAAGTGGTCATGGTGCTTGGGGTAACCCATCCTATAGCAAGAAGTAAAAACTGAACTGGCATCAGTTTGTAATATATCTAAAATCGAAATTCCCTGTCTGCAACAGATATATAAATTCTGTCCTAACATATGGGGGATTGACATCGTTAATGCAGAATTAGGGACTTCCCCATATCACGTACAAGATCAGACCAGGCCACGGGACGGGAACTCAGGTGAGTGCCACACCATTAGAAAATGGTTTGACTACATATCGTGAGGTGAAATCAGGCAGTAGTGGTTCTGGTGCCTAGACTGCCCCTTTAATCTAGGCACCATAATCTGTTTTATGGGATTAATTAATAAGACTATACAATATGATAAACATGGCAAAACAACTAATAATTCTATTTAAACTAAAGTGTTTATAAATTCTAACGAGACCCTATCACGGCTTAAAGAATTATTCACTAGTATGAAGTGTCAGATATGAAAAGATAATTAATATTACTGACATTTATATAGCAACAACTAGTGATGTCGCGAACCCGAAATTTTCGGTTCGTGAACGGCGAACGCGAACTTCCGCAAATGTTCGCGAACCGGCGAACCGCCCGAAACGTCATTGACTTCAATCGGCAGGCGAATTTTAAAACACACAGGGACTCTTTCTGGCCACAATAGGGATGGAAAAGTTGTTTCAAGGGGACTAACACCTGGACTGTGGCATGCCGGAGGGGGATCCATGGCAAAACTCCCATGGAAAATTACATAGTTGATACAGAGTCTGGTTTTAATCCATAAAGGGCAGAAATCACCTAACATTCCGAAATCACAATCAATATGGATTGACACCTGACATATGACATGTTGACACCTTGACATATGGATTGACACCTGTCCTCAGAGCCCCTGATGCACACGGACACAGAGCAGAATAGAGACTGGTCCCCTACATAGGGTCACTTGGCAGATATGGATTGACACCTGTCCTATGGATCCCTGGATACACACTGACACAGAGCAGAATAGGGACTGTTCCCCCTGCATAGGGTCACTTTGGCAGATAGCATTGACACCTTGTCCTAAGGTTCCCCTGATACACACTGACACAGAGCAGAATAGGGACTGTCCCCACATAGGGTCACTTGGGCAGATATGATTGACACCTTGTTACAAACTGCTATTTGTAACGGGCCCTTTAAATGGCAAATTGCCCTGCTTCCTTGGGTTGTGGAGAAGCCTATTTGCCAGCCTCCTCCCGCATGACTATGGCCCCTGGGAGATTGTGAAAATGTATGCACTTTTATTTGGTGCTTTAAGACTGTCGGTGGGCATATTGGGGCTTATGGACTCTTTATGTGACTGGTGCTGGCCCTTTAAACACCTTTTTTGGGACATCAGGAAGATTGGGACACTGCCCCTTTAAGGCCGTGTCCCCAGACTTGTTGGGACACGGCCCCTTTAAGACGGTGTCCCCTGTGTCCCCAGACCTGGTGCAAACCCTTTGTGCCTGCCTTGCTATTTCCCACTTGGTTCAGTAAATGGGAAATTATTTCAGCTGTAGAGACTAAGTCCCATTCGTATGCATGGACTGGCCCTTTTTCAGTCGCTTTTTTCTAGCCCTTATTTCAGCTGGGAGCATCTAAGTCCTGGCCCCGCGATGTAATTCCTAGTCGCTTTTCAGCCCGGAAATAGATCCCACCTCACAGCCCAAATCTATGGAACTGGCCATGTTTTCGCAGGAAAATGTGCTTGGCGGTCGGTCATATATAAAGGGACCTCCAGCTAACTTTTAACCCCCTGGATGGATTTGGCTGATTTTTGGTTATGTTTATGTTTTAAGTGTGCTGATTCCAAATATGTAATTATGAAGATGGGATGTGTAGTCTTAAAGTTACAGGGTATGGCTAAAAACTGTATTTTTACTGCCTGTGTTTAATTATGTTAATCTCTTCCCAAACGTCATTTCGTTCAAAGTGGAGAGAATGTTAAAAAAATATATTTTTGTTCGGAATGTGAGAAATGCTTTTCAGCCGCTTCTAATCTAAAGCATCATTTGAGGAGCCATACAGGAGAGAAACCTTATTTGTGGTGTGTTTAGTATTGTTCTGATCAGTTTAATACCTTCCGCGTCTCCTATCAGTGAATGGGTATATAAGGTGCCATTTTAGGAACCGCATACACCTGGACCCGAAGGTCACTGCTTCAACAGGCTTGCAGCGTGATCCTCCAGGAAGAAGAGCCTGA